AAGGAATATGCAGAGTGTCTGAATAGGTGATTACCTTTGTAGCAATATGGCTGATGATAAATAAAACACCTTTCAGGCTCACTCCTCCAGATTAATCACCTACACTGAGAACACCTTGGAATTTCTATTTTGCAAACAGATTGTCAATAAATACATTTTGATACAGTACCTGCCACCTCCTAAATTGGAGGCTCCATGCTATTCCCTCACTCTTCTCACCACCAGTAAACACAACATATTTCTGTACTGTCACAGGGGACAAGCATCCCAGTGGACAGTCAGGTGCCATGGGAAACTGTTGGAGCAGACCTCACCTTAGGAGTAGAAATGTTAAATGAGAATCTGTGTCTTGGCTCAATGTGAAAAGTGTCGTGGTCAATTCTTCTGTCTTGGGTTGCAATGCAGGATGTAAGCAAAAGTCTGTATTCTATCACCAGCTGTTGAAACCAGGTGGGGCAGTGATCCTGATCTCCATGGGAGATATTCTCTGTTAATGGGCCAGCTGTTAAATCCAGCTGGGGCAGTGTTCTTTATCTTTTCCATAACCCATCCTTCCTCCATGAGATCTCTCCTGTTAATGGCCATGGAGTCCCAGGGCAGGGCTGATAAAATTCCATCATCCCAGGGGAGATGCTCCAGTCAGGGGGAGGAGCCAAGCCTCTCCTACCTAGATATAATCAGTGATTTGGAACCACAGGCAGCCTTTTGCCACTGGATTCCCACAGGAGGACCAAGCCCATCTTCATCACCACTGGGCAGACCTTCAGAGGAAAACTTTACCTGTCTCCAGGAGCCCTGCTCCAACAGAACCACATCTGTCACTGCAGGAGGATGCAGCCACCATTTAATGGGACTGCACCAACACCCTGACTGACTGACAGGGTGTCAGGCTGTATTCTGACTCTGTGTTTTGCTGGTTGTTTTGGATGACTGTATTTTTATTTTCATTTTCCTAGCAAAAGAACTATTATTCCTATTCCCATATCTTTTCCTGAGAGCTCCTTAATTTCAAAATAATAAAGATTTGGAAGGAGGGGGTTTACATTTACATGTCATGAGAGGCACAGGTATGAACAGAGGCCCAATCTGGGAAAAAGCAGGGCAGAGTTAATTTGATCATACATACACATATATAAATACCTATAAATACTGGCTATTTAAGGACAATGATGTAGTTGCTCTAGCTGAATTTAAACATTCACCAGAAAATCCCTGACAATCCCTTTTTGCCTAGAGCAGGGAGGTACAGATCCTACCAAAAGCAGGAAAGTTAATTTCCATGTTACTTTGAGCACAGGTTTTACTTGTGCATCAGTAGTACATTTATAATTAATGCAGTCTTTTCCTTTTCTAAGCTTTCAGAACCTACTAGAATGTTAAAAGCATGTTAGCAAGTGCACCCATGGCTTCTCATGTCAGTTTTCTGAGACATATCCCTGGCTAGAGGTTACTATCTAGGCTTAAAACAAAAGCTCTTCAAGACAATGAGGACAGTTCAGTGACATTCGACAGGTTTCCTGTCTGGACTTTAAGATCTTTTTTCTCTTCCATGAAGATGGGCTGAGAAATTTGAGGCTGTTCAGCCCTGAGAAGGCTCCTTACTCAGAAGCCCTTCTGGCAACTAAATGGGCCACAAGAGAGCTGGACAGGGACTTTGGACAAAGAAACAAAGTGATAGGACAAGGGAAAATGGCTTCAAATCAAAGTGGGGTGGGTTCAGATTAGATAATAGGAAGAAATTCTTCACTGTGAGGGAGGTAAAGCCTGGCACAGGGTGCCCAGAGAAGCTGTGGCTGCCCCATCCCTGGAAGTGTCCAAGGCCAGGCTGGACAGGGCTTGGAGCAAGCTGGGGTAGTGGAGGTGTCCCTGCCCGTGGCAGGGGATTGGAACAAGATCATCTTTAAAGTCCCTTCCAACCCAAATCATTTTATGAATCCTGAGCCAGCAGCTCCAAGCTCTAACATCAAACTCAGCTACAATTCCCACTCTTTGTTCTTGAGGAGCACTAATTTCTGATTTCAAAAGGACATGTACTTGGGCAAATAAACCTCCTTCAATACATATGGATACATATGCTTCCCCCTCCATATGACATCTCATTACAACAGAGACAACTGCACTGTTTTAAAGGTGATGCTTTAAAGCACTACACATCTTTTGCTAGTTCCCAAGTACTTTTCCCTAGCCTACCCAGGTCTGAAAAACAAAGCTGACTTTGAATTGAATCCAAAAGATAATCAAGTACAAATGTCAAAGCAATTGTATAAATCAGAGTAATGTGGGTGATAGGGCTGGGAAGAGAAAAAGTAGATTTGACTATCTGTTTACAAATTAAAAGCTTCTTCCCCAATGCTTTCTGATCAACTGCAGTTCTTAAAGGTCAGAGACTAGCTTTGGGTATCACAGTATAAATCCTGTAGCAAAACTAGGTTGTGGCTGGATATTTTTCCCAATGTAAACACTTGCAATGCACTCCCAGGTACAGATTAACTTTAGTAACACTGCATTCACTAATCATTTGCTCACAATAGCCTTCCAAATATATAACACATTACCACATCCCTAAACAAAAGAAGGAATGCATTTACGCAAATTCAGGCATGTCTGTAAGGAAGCAATGTTGCAAACCCATAAAGAAATACAGCAGAAATCCAAGGCATTAATTTTGGCAGTCAATTTTTTTTTCTTTTCCCTTTTTGCTTTGCTGGCAAAGTAAACAAAAAGCTGAGAACTTCCTTAAATAGACAGGAAGCTAAATTCTTGTTCTGATGACACCAAACATTTGCAGGAAGTGGGACAGGTGAATATACTGACTGCACTCATATCCTGTTTCCTCTTGTACACTGAAGTCTGCAGAAGCATCACTTCTCATTGGGTGTCCTGAGCTCTGCTGAGAGCCAGACACCACACCAGCCTAAAATAGTGACATTTACATGTAAAGTCCACAGCCCTTCACACTGGACTCTCTTGACACTTTCAGCTGCAGCTTCTCTAACACTAACATGAAGAAGGCTTAGGGTTTGCAGTAGTGCTCAGAAGTATCCCTCATTGACTTGCTCTTCATTTTCACAGCTTCGATATCTATTGCACTGTCATAAGAAAATGCCAAGATGAACAAGATGTTGACTCCTTTTCCAAGTGCAAAGATATAAAGGGTTAAAATATAATCAAACAAACACTAATATTCACAAAAATTCTCTAATTAACTGAACAGTGATGCTACAACAGACTCAGGAACTTAGAGACTTCCTTTTTTTTTTTCCCCTCTCATTTAAAGTTCTATGATCTGTCCCCAAGTCATGCTTCCAGAACTGTTTCCATTACTCTTCCATAGGAGTTGTCATAGAACACCACAATACACAGCCAAATAGAGACATCTGGTACAGATTCATGCTGGAAGCAGCCTTAGGATGTACCACCTTAAGGGACATGGTTAGATGGATCAGCCCTCTTTAGGGCTACCTGACAGAGATGGCTGGACAGATTTGTCACCTCATATGACAGCACAGCTCATTCCATAACCGTATTTATCTAGTTCTGCCTGTTAATGTAAAGAAAATCAGGTCACAATCATGACTCTGTGCAGTTCTCCTGTCCCTGGACAGAACTCTGCATCAGGCAGTCGTTTTGTGTTGTCTTCATTTTACATTCTGTGCATGAAAGCAGTCAGCTAAACAATCTGCTAAAAAGGGTCTTCCCAAAACACATTTGCTGTTCATTAAAAAAAAAAAAAAAAAATCAAAGTAGATGAAGAACCTGTCCCGAAACCCAGTATGTCAACAAACAAAAAAACCAAAACATTCTGTTGAAAGCAAAGAACTACTATAACAGATAAATAATGGAAACATAAATAAATCAAATTACTGAAATGAAGAGAATCTTTGCAAACTGTAGATTTCATGCCTCAATGAAATTGCAATTACTCTCAGCATTTAATTGCTTCTAAGGTCCAAATAAGATCCAATACACAACATTCCTTCAGATTTCAGTATTTAATGGAGTTGCAGAAAATGGTTGTAACATTTCTCTCAAAACAGTATCTCATAATTACTTGGGTCAAAATGCAAACTTTTTCAAATGTTCCAATAACTGCATACTCCTGTAATACTCATCTAACTTTATTCTGCCTGTCTGAACAAAATGAAGACTTCCAAAAAAATATCTGCTGTCATCACCCAATTCATTTAAGTGCCACAATACCAAAATGCATATGCTGATCCTCTCACTGAATGTCAAGGATATTTTCTTCATTCATTTCAATGCAATAAGGTACAAAAGTAATGGTTTGTTTTCCTCATTCATAAAGACTATTACCAAAGTCCCAATTTCAAACTCTTTGAATTTCCTCATCAGCCACTAAGTCTGAAGTCTACAATTCATTGTGAGATCCAGTCCCAAAGCAAGAGAGATTCTAGGTTTGCTGTTGTGCATTCCCTGAAATCCTGGCAATGTGCCATCTGGCAGCCTTCACAACTTCTAATGGAAAAGACAGAATACCCTTCAGAAAACAAAAAGCATGACTGGTTCCAGTCATGCAAAAAGAAGCTTCCATGTTTCTCAGAAGTTTCCAAATGGGGCAGCAATGAAAAAGTCAGTAAAAACTACACTGTCTGATTATGTAAAACACAATTAAAGTGTCTCTGATGCATCTACCTATACTTCAAGTTCTCATATACACCAAGTGAAGCAGCTCACAACAGAACAGACTGCACACCCATCCATCACGCTTAAATGTAATCATGGCAAACATCAGCTACTGCCTAAACTACAGAGATGCATTTAATACTCCCCCATCAGCAATCAACCTTTTCCACATATGTTCATAATCACAATGAATTGTTCCATTTTAATACTTTGTTTTCCTTTTCTTATCCCACAGTTTAGTGTGCTTCTTAAACGAGGTATTTATAAGGGAAAAAAAAATCTCCTTTTCCAGTTTTATTCCCGTAACTAGAGATTATTTTTTAAAGAAATACAAACTACAGAACATATTTGCTTACCTGTTGCAGTCCACGTGGAGCAGGAGATGGGATGCACTAAGTGACACAGCAATCTTGTGCCACTGTCCATCTGCCAGGCGATATGGGAACACCTCTGTTCTTGTCTTCCCATTAAACCTGTAGTGATACCTGATCTCATCCCGCAGGCCACTGCTCTCCAGCTCAAAATAGCTGCATTGAAAACAGGAAGAATCAGTTCCACTTTCCACAATCATTGTCTCTGTCACTGTCTTCTTAACTGATAAGGCTTCTTCAAGCAAGCGCCACAATCTAAAGAGGTTACTCAGCATGGATTAGCTACTAATTAATTATTTTAAAAGAAGCAGAGGCACAAGTCTATACATTCAGAGCAGCACAAAACCAGCAATAGTCATTAGATGAAAACAGCTCAAAGTACCACTTGTTACTCCTGGAAACTGAAATCCTCTTTTCACCTATAGAAAACTACAAGAAAACAAGCCTTATTCTTTTCACCAAAATATTTGTATGACTGCAGGCTTTGTAAGAAATTGAAAAACAAAGAGCTGTACATATATCACTAACACAAACAAATAAAAAGCCATTAAGGTAAGAAACCACCAGGTAATCATTAAATTTGTATTTACTGCTTGCAAATCCAGTTAAAAAAAAACACAACTGTTTATTTTTAGGACTCCCCTACATGCAATTGTGCTTAACTCATTTTCTGACTTTTATTGTTAGTGCCATGATCATTCAGCTTTACAAGGGAAAAGACAAAACCTCCTGGCTGGATTAGGAGTCTCCACATCTGGCATAAACCATCCAACAATCAAAACCTTCATGCAGTTGTCAGACCCACAGGAGGGCAAACAAAGTGTGGCTATTAACTAAACTCATAGGGGTGTGGGGAGACCCAGTGCTTTCTCTAGGATAAATTTAGCCCTTCCAGGGCACACTGACAATATATAGTGAAGTCTTCTCTTGGACCTTCCCCAAGTATTTACATCATATAGAATCTTTTTCCTGCTAGAATGAAGCTATGTATATAGAAACAGGTGATGCAGACCTCCCTTTATAGTAGAAATAGCTCCACAAGGAAGTGAAGATATTAGATTGTTCAGATAGTTCTTTACCCCATCTACCTCCATGGTGTTATGGTTTTCCCTATTGGCCAACACCAATGGTATTTGAGAGGCAGGTGCTGATTTGGGGTAAGGTGAGAAAAATTACAGTAATGAAATCCACTTCCAAAAAATAAATGCAACACAAACCAATAGATATTGGAGTGCCAATTTTCATTTTCCCATAAGCCTTTCACACTGCTTGGCAGTACACAGGCCCTAACAGCCTGTGTGCACAAGCATTACATGGGGCTGTGCACTTCTTCAAGATTACATCTTACCAATGAAGCTGAGGGTTTCCAACATAACTGGAAAACAGAGTTCCTTGGGAGGAAACTTAGGTGATAAAACACTAGCTGGAAACATGTGCAAGAGATCACAACAGGCTAGCAAAAGGAACACAAAGATAGCAAGTCTTCACCAAAAGTGAAATTCGAGCCCTCCTCCATCCTGCCAATGCCTTGTCATCACATTTTTCATGCAACATGAAAGCATTATTGGGCCACATGAATCAAAGACTCAAGCGACAAAGTAAAAAACAGAAGGAGGTAAAGGTAAAACCAATGCTGAATAAAAACACAGCAGGCACAGGTACAAACAAATACATGCAGTACAGAGTGGAAAAAAAATCAGGCTGGTGTTGTGAAGGAACTGGCACAAGGACGACAAAGAAAGAGGGATCTTCTAAATAGCAGATCAGAATGTTGATTAACTACGGCCAACACCCATTAAAATACCTAAATTACGTTCACACAAAACCTGGAGAAGATTTATTATTTTGATGCTCAGTAACAATATAGTCAACATCCAGAAGATACTGCTGCTGGTGTTTCCAAGCCAGAAAAGCACTAGGACAAGTACTGTCAGTGATGCCATACTTTTGTAATTTCCATCTGCTGTCACAGCACATAATGAAGTGAGACAGAAAACGAAAAAAAAAAAAAATGAGGATGAAGTACATAACATTCTAGTACCTCAGACACAAAGTATTTGTGTGTATATACATATAGAGATACATGGTTGATCACAGAGGCTTAAGAGCCCAAAAACAAGACAATCTCCTGTTGCAGGAAGCAAATTGCTTCATTCTTCATAATCTCCAATAGCCACAGAGCTGATCACTCACCACACAATGATTTCTTTGTTAATGTAAAGGTAACAATGCAGCCCTGGAAAGGTCAGTCAGATACTGCACTTAATCACATCTGTGCTCTGTTATTTGTACAGCACAGGAAATTGCAAAGCTTCTCACTTGACAATCTTTAGTGCCAATAGTTACCTCAGGACTGAGAACAGCTTGTTGCTTAGGCATCGAGCTTGTTGTCAATCTCCTGACTAATTTATATAGTACAGAACAGATTACTTAAAATTTCATGTAATAGCTAGTGCTAACATTTTTGTGTATGTGGACCTAATGCAGTAAGTGCCACAGGGCTGTATTAAACACCATGTTTTACCTCTCCAGAGAAAGGAAAAGGAGGGTGTCAGCAGCCAAATGCTGCACCTATACTTCACCACCCATCAACAAGTGCAAATCACAAACATTTAAACTCAGAGAAACATCAGTGAATACCAGTCAACAAAATCCCAACAGCAGAAACTAGCTGGGTTAGCCCAACACATCTCTTTCTCTTGTATTTAAAAAATAAAAGGCAACGTAAACCAACAGTCTTGCATTGATTTTATATTTTTAAAATGCAGAAATTTACACTGAGACCTTGGTTACACAAACACTTCATGATGTTCTCAGTTCAGAAATCACCTTTTCTCTACCAGAATATAAGTCACGTGCAAACAGCTTTCTCAGCAGCAAACATCTTTTCTTTCCTCCTTCCACCAGACTCTGGGGGAAAGAAGCCTCTTCCAAAGCAATGACACAAAGGCCATTCACTCTTGGAAATTAGTGCACCTGCTCTGCTTTGGAGTTCTAATCTGCAAATTGGGGAATGGAAGACAAATGAGGGGAAAAACAAACTCAGGCAAGTAATCATCAACTGGTGAGAAAATAATTAGTAAAGCCAGAGGAAATAAATGGATTTTTTTTTTTTAAATCTCTATCTCATCTTCAATTTCAAATGCCATTGCACATTTTTTTTATCTATGATAAAACAACAGGTACAAATGGGGGGAGGGGGGAAATTAACAGAAGCTACCATACAAGAGGCAGGAAAATGAACTGATCTCTAACAGGTGTTTTGAAGACTCTTTCCAGTATTTTGTCAGGAACTAAAAGAAAATATAGGGTTGGAATGAATCAGGGTAACTGAAAAGACTGCAACATCTGGGACCATCTGAATATATGTATCCTTGTTCAGTGTGAACTCTGAATGCTGCCATGAAATCCATACCAAAAGGCCAAGAGAGATCCCTGAGTATTGTGACAATCTCTGATTCTGCATCTGCACGAAGCCTGTGTCAGCCTGTGCTCCAGTCAGGGCCCTGCCACTCCCCTCCACACCTTCCTCAAGGAAGAAAGGTGTGAGACAGTAATCTCCTTGCCAACTTCTTAGCACTGTTTCTTGTTTTGTTTGTTATTTCTCAGCAACAATTCATATTTTCATACATTTTAAGTAAGGGGCATGATCAGAAGTTGATATGTATTTTGACAGATTAAGTTCTCAGAAGACATGCATTAAAGAAAGCTTGTTTTTTATGGAACAGCAATGCAATTCGACCTTGGCTGGAATTCTCCCACTAGTAGAATTTCCCTATTTGCTAAGCATGTAAATTACTGCTGGCTTCTTTTGTACAATTATAGAATTCAAATGCTTTTTATAGGTCTATCTGCAGTCTCTCATTCAAATCCCAACGTATAAGAGAAAAACATTGCTAAATTCAGACTGATTTTATGCACATCAAAAAAAAGTTGGGATATTTTAAGGTCATGCAATGTGCCTTCCAGAAGGACAGTATTATTCCACAATTGATTCAAGATAGTTTACAATTCTTCCTGACAATTTTTGCAACCCCTACATACCTCACACAAAAATATTGTAGGGAGAGGATAAAGCTTGACACAGTTACAGATGTAATGACCAAAAAACTTGGGAAAGTCACAATCAACATTAAATAAGAACATGTCAAACACCTGAAGCAGAAAAGGCACAGTATTTCTATAAGGTGAGTTGGCTTAATCCACCACCTGCATTAAAGAAACATTCACCTGTTCATCCTCTCAACCCACAGAAGAGCTCTTATCCTGTGGCAAACACCACCACGTTCATTCAAAGGTTCTACTGCTCTTAGATTATTCAAGTGGCCAAAGGAAGGACAGCGGGATTGGTGTCCTCCAGAATATCCTTAGGGTACACAGCACTTCATTTCCTGATCTCTACCAACCCAACACCTATCTCCAAACACTAAAATATCCCACATGCAGACAGCAGTGCAATTGGGTAAGCAGATTAAATGTTCCTATAAGAGCTCTAAGAACTAGAGCAGAACTACTTTTTGCATTCAATTCTGGCAACCTTCCTCCTTATCACAATCAAACATAAATAAAGCAGAGCTATCATTCTGACTTTACAACTTCCATTATCTTTGACCAAGTGCCAAATGAAGCCCCACAGCCTCTTTCAAGGAGCAGCACCAGCACTTTATAGCAGATGCTCTTAGAGCTACTGAACAGATGTCCCAGGGCAAAGCAGCAGGCACAGATGGCATCCCTGCAAATATGTACAAACTTGGGGTTGCCATCTAGTCAAAGCACTGTGTATCTGCTTAACGTTGTATGGCAGAAGGTCACAAAAACCACAGGAGTTCAAGGATGGAAGCCCCATCCACCTTGCACGGCCACAGCAACACGATGATGTCAGGCCTCGCAAATGCTGGGGAAAAAATCACTGCCATAAAAAATCAGACAATTACTGCACAGAAACTTCTGGGAAATATCTGTGACTCTGGCCAAGGCATAATTTTAAATTCTTTTTAATAACAATGTAAATTCAGGAGAAGTCCAGAGATCTGTCATCTTTATGTCACCAGCTATAAATTCAGCAAGCTTCTGAAAAAATACGTCTATTTAGACTTGTTTGTGCACATAGCTTTTTCATTTCACAATAGCATTGTGCTATTTCATGATAAGAATGG